TCCCAATAGCCCTTTAACAGGGCCACTGTTTGGGGGTTTGGAGGTTTGGATTTGTTTTGTTTTTCCTGCCTTTGTACCTGACCGAAATGTTGGCTCTTACTGTGTCTCAAGCCTGTCAGCCTTAGACTGAAACTACACCATCCTCTCTCCTCATTTCCAGTTCTTCAGATTGAGACTGGAACTGAGGTTGCTGACTGCCAATCTTAGGACTTGTAAACCTTCATGCCTATGTGAGTCAATTCCTGATAATAAATCTATGTATCTATCCATCAATCTATCCATTCTATCTAGACAGACATTCTATCTGGATGGATGGATGGATGGATGGATGGATGGATGGATGGACAGATCAACAGATTGATATTACTGGTTCAGTTTCTTTGGAGAACTCTAATACACTGGGTAATACACTCACACTGATATTAACAGTATTAATACAGCTCTTGTGAATACAATGAATTCTGCTCAAACAAAATCTTAGATAAATTCTCAAGTCCCTTGTCAATGTAGGGCAATCTAATTACAAAGTTCATAAGTTTTGGTATATACAACTGCTTTAGAATGTTATTTTCCATGTACAATTCTGAATACTAAATTCAAAAATATGTAGAGGAAATTTCAGAGATTTTTGATATGTAGCATTTTAGACCTGGCAGATGGGAGAAGGGGAGACACATCATCTGATTGGGCCCTGAATACTCTGTTACAAAAGCTAACAAGAATTCTTTATAAAGAAAAAAATACCAAGCCATTGTGAATGATAAGTCAAAGATGACTTTTATGGTGCACACATGTAGGTATAAGGAAAATAATAAAAGCCTGCACAGAAACATTATTTATGAAGTAGGAAAAAATGGCACAACTCTTTTCGATTTGCTTTCAATAAACAAAGTGTGTGGCAGATAATCACTTCACAGAAATACATTTTAGAAGCAATAATACCATGATGAATCTTTGCTGGACACGACAGCTGCAGCTTTCTATTTTTACCAAATTTGTTTAGAGGAAGTATAAAGTCTTTTTCAGCTTGCCAAGTTCAAATTCTACTATTCTTAAACAATCCTTTTTTTAAATTTTTTAACTTTTATTTATTATTGAGAGACAGAGCATAACCAGGAGAGGGGCAGAGAGCGAGAAGGAGACACAGAACCCGAAGCAGGCTCCTGGCTCTGAACTGTCAGCACAGAGCCTTGATGTGGGGCTTGAACCCATCAACCGCGAGATCATGACCTGAGCTGAAGTCGGATGCTTAACCGACTGAGCCACTCAGGCACCACTCAAATTCTACTATTCTTAAGGTAAGTAAAACTTGTACATGTAAGGGACAAAAATTTATTTCTCAACGCCACAGAGTTCTTTTTACTTAACTAAAATTTCATTGAACTAAAATTATACATTTTAGTTAAAATGTATATATACTACATGCATGTACATCCACACATCCACACACAAACATATAGATATATTTGCCTCAGTCAAGTATGTATCTGATTGTCATTCCTTAACTCTTTATTATTTTTGATATTTATTTATTTTTGAATGAGAGAGAGAGTGCAAGTGGGAGAGGAGCAGAGAGAGAGAGGGAAAGAGAGAATCTCAAGCAGGTTTTGCACTGTCAGCGCAGAGACCAATGAGGGGCTTGAACCCACAAACTGCGAGACCACAACCTGAATTGAAGTCAGATACTTAACCAACTGAGCCATCCAGGCGCCCCATGCTCTAACTCTTTAATTCACTGCAGACGTACTCATCATAATTCATGACGGAAAATAGTCTTGTGTTATTTAAGGTGATCTCTTAGATTCTGAAATGGTCACCTAATAACGATGATGACAATCATGATGAGGAAGATGCTAACAAATGCTAGCATTTATGTAGCATTTACTGTATGTCCTACTATATTCTAACAGCTTCACACAAATTCGCTAACTTAGTCCTCACAAAATTCTAATGAGACAAGTATTAGCATTATTCCTGCTTCAAGAATGAGCAAACTTCAGCACAGGCCACATTCTCTAAGAATTTAAGGTACATTTAAAAAATTGTTTTGCCTTAATTTGTAATATTAAAACTAGATATTCTCTAAATATTTAGGGGTTATATTAGGATATAAACACTCCACAGAGTATAATCCATATATTTAGAAATGAAGATTATATAACAATCTGGAAAAGCTTACAATATAATATTAAGTGAAAAACAGTCAGAATATAAAACTGAAAAAAAAAGTTGCATGTCACGCTGATCACAACTATACAGAAATCAGTCATGGGGCGCCTGGGTGGCTCAGTCGTTGAGCATCCGATTTTGGCTCAGGTCATGATCTCCTAGTTCATGGGTTTGAACCCCGTGTCAGGCTCTGTGCTGACAGCTTGGAGCCCAGAGCCTGCTTCGCATTCGGTGTCTCCCTCTCTCTCTACCCCTCCCCACTTGTGTTGTTTCTCTCTCTCATAAATAAACTTTTAAAAAAATTAAAAAAGAGAGAAATCAATCATGCACACTGCCAAGGGCTAGCAAACACACAACACAGTGTAGGGCCCGCTGCTCCTCCAAGAACTGCCCCTGACTCTCCCTCCTCTCTCTGCGAGCTGAACCTGTGCCTTACACAGTCCCCAGCTCATGCTGAACCCGCACAGTCTGGCTTTCACCAACCATGATCCTGGACCGGAGTCCCCACTATGGGTCACCAAGTCCAAAGGCTCTTTTCTTCTCATCCTCCACCATCTTTGCAGAGCACATACACTTTGTTACCAACAATTTCCTTTTTCAAAATATTCTCAGAAGCATCAGTTGGATGGATGAGGCCTCCTTCGCTGTTCCCTCCCCTCACTACCTAAAAGACTTGCTCACGCCTCTGACGCCTGTCCCTTGGCAATTGCATCTAATCCAACAGCTGCAATATTTACTGCTATGTAACCGGCCCTTAAATAAAATGAGCCCCTAAGCAACACAGCTAAGTTCTCAAATGCCTGCCAGACAGCTCCATAGAGATTCCCCTGGGATCCACTAGTTATGGTGAGTTCCTCATCCTTCCCACAACCAAACTGGGTCTCCAGCCTCCCATTTCTCTCCACAGCAACCTACTTTCCCCTAGCTCTCCAAGCACGAAGCCTCACTGCCATGTCCTCCAACGCTCTGTAAAATACCGCTCCCTCCTGCCCGGTCTTCACCATCTCTCCAGGCTTCTAGAAGAACAGGAACCCATGATTTCCCACAAGCACACCCACCATGCTCCTGCCCCATCCATGGAATCTTACTTGGGTTTCAATTCATCCACAAAGTCGTTCCTGGTGACTTCCATTCAGATGTGTTTCTCCACCTTTAAAACCTCGTAACACTTACCTTTCCGTCTTCACGTTGCAGTTCTCATGTTTGATGTTCTTAGGTTGAACCACATAAAACTGTTGATAGTTTTAATACATGCCATAGGGTTCAACCTGATACTTCTGCTGCTTTGAGAGCCCCCCCTCCCCCCAATAAAGAGCAGTGACCACAAAAGCAGGGATGAGTTTTGCCTTTTTTTCTGAGCCTCTGGGAAGCCCAGAATCTTGGGAGTATTTGTCAAAATGAGAAGACTCCCCAGCATTATATACATCCTATATATTTGTAAAATAAATCCTCTGTAACAATTAGTCTAACCCATCAGCTCTAACAGTAGAGGCAAAGCGCTTTAGAACCTGAAACCCCAAAACTCTTGGTGACCTAAAATGTTTTGGTTCAAGAAAGTGTTTTAAAATCATTTATTTGTGAAGGGAACATTCTTGGATTGAGAGGTTGGCAGGTACAGTAAAAGGCTTTTAGGTGACTGAAATAAAAAAAAAAAAAAAAAAACACTCAAAACACTTTTAAGCACAGGCACTACACTTATAAAAACAAACTGCCAAAAGGGAAGTATGGCAGTTTGTGCACAAAGAGCCGGGTGCCTCTGGCCACCGGCAAAGAGGCACCGGAGCCTGAGAAGAATGATTTGCATTTCTATGGCTCCTTTTGTATACCCACATTCCCAGAGCGCTGCTAATATCATTAGCTGAAGACAGCAGTGGGTGGACATCAATACCAGAGGGGATCCAGGTCCCTGGACACAGCAGCGACCCCCAATCCCCCGGAAAGCTGTAAACATGAGTGCAATTAATTTGTGCTGGCTCAGACAGACTGGGGAGAAATGTGTCTGAAGGGTCCTCAGGCATCACCTACCCCCCGCAGGAGGCATTTGTCTTTCCTGTTTTCACAAAGAGTGATTTCACTCCCTGGGGAACGGTATTTGCCGGCGTCCCCAGCCCCCTTCTAGGTGAGGGCACCGTTCATCACGGAGTTTGCCAGCTCTGCCCTCCGACGCAAGTCACCCCGGGGAAAGGAACACCCAGATGAGAAGGCAGGGAGGCTCCCCCAGCTCTGGCAGCGGTGCGGCCGCGGACACAGGACACTGCTCGCTGGTGGCCCACGTGTGACATGTGAGCGGCCTGTTCACGGGAACGTTTCACTGCAGCTTAGAGCAGTGAAACGCGGAGGTGGGCCTTGGCCGTGCTTCTGTCCTCCCGCCCCACCAGCGTGGAAACGGATTTTGATGGGGGCGGGGAGCTTGGGGAGCTCGGGTGGGAATGGGGGCCCTGAGCCCCAAGCCTCCTCTGGGACCCGCAGCCGCAGACTTGGGTCTATCCTGCAGGGGTCAGAATTGGGTTACAAATCCCTCGCAGTGCAGTGACTGAGCAGCCTGATTGGGAACAATTTATTCGAATCCTTCTTCATTAAGATTCAAATGGAATAAGTAAGGTAGAAATTGAACAGACACAGAAATTGTGCCTTCCTGCTCCTGTAGTCAGTAAACATTTATTCGCTAAGCCCGGGCTGTGTGTTCTCTCTCGCTTGCTCACTCACTGTTATTCTTCCAACCCTTCCTGCTCGCTGTTTTAATGCATAATTAAGAAGGTCAGAATTAATGAAGCGGTGTGGAGTAAAGTTCAAGGAATCCCCAGACACTATTTATTCTATTAGATCTCAGGCATGAATGTCAGCTTGGCAGAGTGAGTGGCATTAGCAGTGGGGCTGGCTGCATCCCAGGAACGACCAGCAAGGGACACTCACCTGCACTGTCAAGTCATTCCTGAGCTCCTTCCCAGCGAAAATCACACGCAACTGGTCAGCTGGAACCCCCTGTCGCTTAGCAACCACCTCCTTGAGCTGGAAGATGCTGGTGTCGGAATCGACCTCCACAGGGAAGCCATGGCTGGAGTTGAACCTGATCAACACTGACCAAGACATTGGAAAAGAGGGGGCGGGGGGAAAGAGAACATTACTCAAAGCTCTGACATGGCAACGGCAACATTTCTGAACTGAGTTATCTCTCACCCACCCCTGTGAGGAACGGCATACATTTTCTCTCACTTATAACATCAAAATGCAGTGGAGCAACACTTGAAGAAAAATGGAGTTTCCCTGTGGGATTTCCCTTTCATATATTAGTCTGTGACCCTCAAACACAATCACCTGCTCCCTTTGACATCCATCCTGGAAAACAAAGGACTCACACAGAACACTTGCTAGATAGGAATTGTGAGATTCCCAAGAGTTTATGGAGGAGATTCACCTCTGACAGCCTGTATGACCATGCATTCCCTCCATGGTGTGCCCGTCATAAACATCAGAAGTGTTACCTTAGCACTCACATTACAGCGGTGGAAATAAGTCAAGCCACGTTTCAGACTAGAGTGAAGACCCGCCGGAGGTCTACGAGCCCTTGGCTTTAGGGGTCCCTCCCAAAACATTCCACTGGATCTTATGGAGGTGCTTGCCTTTTCTTTTAAACTACCGAGACCATCTTTTTTTTTTTTTTTTTAGTTTATTTATTTTTTGAGGTGGTGGGGGAAGAGAGGAAGAAGGGCAGAGAGAGTAGGAGAGAGAATCCCACTAACAGTGTGGAGCCTGACACAGGGCTTGAACTCATGAACCATGAGAACCTGACCTGAGCCAAAATCAAGAGTCAGATGTTTAACTAACTGAGTCACCCAGGTGCCCTGAGACCGTCTTTCTTTTTTTTTTTTTTTTTTTGATGTCCTAAACTGTTTATTAGGTAAGAATTTTACAAACATTACTTGTATTAACAGTAGCGGTGGAGCTGGAGAGTATTGCGTCTTCTCCAAGCCGCACGGCGAGAACCACCAATAGTGTGGTGGAACTTGTGACCCTTTCCAAGGCCACGGCTCTTGCGGCCTGCAGAGGTCAGCCCTCGCATCTCCCTGTGCTTGTGGACTGGTTTGGTGATCCACTGGGTGTCAGGATTTCTTCTGATAGCTTTATGGAATGGATCAATAAGGATAACCTCAAAGAATTTGTATGTGGAATCTTCGCCAACCCAGTAAGAATTCAAGACTCTCAGAGCCCCACAGTGGCATCCAGCTCTCTCCTCTGCAACAGACTGAAGGCTTCGGGCAAACTTTAGCTGGTTGACACCATGATGGACAGGCTTGCCATAGGTAGCACCCTTAGGAACCGGGCGTTTGCGGCCACCGCGTCGCACACGAATCCGATATATGACATAACCTTGCTTGGCCTTGTACCCCAGTCTGCGCGCTTTATCGGGGTGGGTTGGGCGGGGGGCCCTGTGGAGCGCAGAGAGCTGGCGATACTGCCAACAGTGCACCCTGAGAAGAAAGCGCATTACATCCGACTGCTTCTTCCTCCATAGTTCCTGGATGTACTTGTAAGCGCCCATCTTGGGTTACCTTCGAGCTGACGGCTACCGCCAGACGGACGAGACCATCTTTCTTATTGGCGCCTCTACCCCGTCACAACCAAGACTGGGACCTGCTGTCTCAGCACGCCCTCTTGTCACTGTCTACTGCCATCCCAAACCCATCAATGTCGCCCACACCTGTCCTTTCCTGTGCATGCTTTCTGTCACTACTCTCAGTCAATCTTTTCTAGATTCCAGCACTAGCCTCCCAACTGGAGTCTTGATATATACACTCTTTTCACTTCCAAAATGTCCTGCACCGGTCTGCAAAGTAAGCCTTATCAATCCAGAGTCTGACCAAGGCATAGCACTTGAATCCATTGAAGTCTCCCCCTGCTGGGGAGAAAAATCCAAGGTCCCTCTCATCTGACACAAACCTATATCCCAGCAGCTCCTCCATGAGTCCCCACATGCACACTGCTAAGCTGAATGCTCTAGAAAACTTCTGCATCCAGGTCTTGCCTTTATTCCTGCCAGTCTCTTCTTCGCCACTGCCTGTTGAAAGCTGGTTCACTACATGATCTGTCTCAGATGATCCTCTTCCAAGAGGTCTCTCACAATCAGCCCAGTCAAGACTGAGCCCTCCTCTTCCATGATGCGGTGGATTTACCACATGCATCTTACACTATTCCACATTCTCTCATGGAAGTAGCAGAGCACTGAGGTTATAAGGACACTCTTCAGAGTGGGGAGGACTCCCATTAGTTCTCCTACCAGCTTAGCAGATGCAGAGAATATATTATCCCCATTGCTTCAACTCTCAGTTCCCTAATCGTCACAATAAGTAAACCACGGAGATGTCCTGTGAGGTGTTAAGTAATATTTATAGTGTTTAACACTATCACATAATTATCTTCAAAAATAATGAATGTTTGTATGTATTACATGTTTTTGGTATATATTTCACCTTCTCGAAAAGATTATCAACACCTTAAGGCTAAAGCCAGTCACTATAGCTTCTTTTTTACTTCATCTCCTATAAATGTAGCATTACCACTCACCAGTTCTCAATTCAAATATGCGATGGCCCACCTAATAATAATTATAATAAAATGATAATTACATTGCCAATAATAGAGCATATACTATGTGGCAGAAGTTGAACCTCACATAGGCTATTTTTAAGCTTTCCAATGATCTGGTAAGGTCAGCATTATTATCCTTATCTAATAGAATAGTAAATGGAGTCCTGGAGAATTGTAATCACTTTTCTAAGGACATCGGCTGCTTTGTAATGGAATCACAACTCAAATTCAGTTCAATCAAACTCTAAACTCCATTCCATTTCTACTATAACAGGCTGCCTAAAATATCCTCGGAAGAAAAGTCCATATTCCTTTTCCTTAGGGCAAAAAAAGACAAACAGCAGCAGCAAAGAGGCTTTATAACATAATTCAGATAGTCCCTGTACATATTAGCAGTAGGAAATGGGATTAAAAAATAAAAGCTCCCACGAAGAGCGAAGAGGCAAGAATAATGAACAACAGTTATAAGACACGATAAGATCAAAATGGCACCGAAGTGAGAACAGGTGCCATAGATGACACACAAGAACAAAAACCTGACACAGTTTACCCAGCACAGAAAACTAGTTAGAAAAAGTATGGTCTGGATGTGACAAAAGTGTTCCAAATTTAAAACAAAAAAACTGATAAAAAAAAAAATTACAGAGGAAAAGGCGCTTCTGATAAACTTTTAAGTAGATGTTGTGTGACATCGTTGAAGTAGAGGAGGGGAAATAAAAATGTCTTGGAAGCCCTTGAGGTATATTCACAGCGTCCTCAGATCAGGGACCATAAGGCAACCAATTCATCAGAAAAGATAGGAGACAAGTGAGGGGCAGGAGGAGACAAAAGGTATAATCCCAGTTCCAAGCATGATTTTATAGGAGTGTGAATAGATTTTTTTTTTTTAAAGCACAACACCGCAGGGGGATATGGGAAGAAGCAACCAGGAACTATACAAAAGCTACTAAAACTAAAAAAAAGGAATAAAACTTCCAGGATATCCTGAGTTGATGAATTTTCTCCATGGCTTCTAATCATGGGGATTCATCCTAAAAACAAGAATCACACAAAAAGCAAACAAGCAAAACTAAAGGGCAAAAAAGCTGTAAAAAAAAAAAAAAAAAAAAAAAAAAAAAAAAAAAAAAAAAAAAAAAAAAAAAAAAAAAAAAAAAAAAAAAAAAAAAAAAAAAAAAAAAAACACATGCTGGATAATTCTGTACCACAACTCCAATGATTAGTGTCTAAAGGCTTTAAAACATATATTTTTTACACTTATTTATTTTTGAGAAACAGAGAGAGCGTGAGAGGGGGAGGGGCAGAGAGAGAGGGAGACAGAATTTGAAGCAAGGCCACCCACGCATCCCTAAAGGCTTTTTTTTTTTTTTTTTTAATTCTGAACTAGAAGAGCTAAATGAACTTACTTACTGATTTGTTTGTTTGTTTGTTTGTTTATAATTTTAAGTAGGCTCCATGCCCACCCTGGGGTTTGAACTCAGGACCCTGAAATCAAGAGTAGCATGCTCAACTGAATAAGCCAGCCAGATGCTCCAAGGCCTTTTTTTATTCCGTATAAATAGAAAAATTATAGTTTTTGAACTTAAATTCGATTTGGTTAAATCATGTCAATGCTTTAGAAATGAATAGTTTTGAACAGCAGTTCAGACATCCAGGATGAATTTACCATAGAAGGACTGATCAAATGCACTGCAGGTATTAGGCAAACTAAGGTATTGTCATCGACAAGAACAGACACTTTAAAACGACCCAGTCATCAGTAATTAAGTGCCATTAAGAGGGAAATGGCTAGGGCTTAACAGCAGTGGTGTAATTTGTGGCGGGTCTCCATCTTCCAGCACATGCGTCATGTCCTATCTGTTCTGGTCCTGGAACCCCAGGATTCCCAAAGGAGAGGAGAGGAGAAGAGGAACGCACCAATCCCCTCCCTCTGCTCCTTCTTGAAAAGTCACAGGAAGAATATCTTTAGAGCCAGGAAAGGAGAAACCAGAATCCTGGTTGTGCCACTTGCTAATATTATGACTTAGGACAGATTACCTGGTCACCTTCTCTTAGCTTCCTTATCTGCTAAATGAAGATAATGTCTGCACCTTAAATGTCCATTGCAAAAGATTTGTTGCAATTATGGATGCATTAGGAAATTCTGGGCAGAGTCCTTGGTACACACCCTGCACTCTTAGTGCAGGACAGGCTTGTACTCCAAAACTGTTCCCTAATTTCAGTCACCTAGAGGAGGCAGTGCTAATTAAAGCAGCATCCATTCTTTATATTGTAATGAAGACACATTAAATAGGATGGGGGTATTTTTCTGATTTCTGCTGCTCTTCATGACGGGCAGAGAACTGCCAGGATCAAAGAGACCATGACAAAGAATTCAGCAGGTCTCCTTTTCTGAGATCTAATTATAAATTAAAAGTCTGGGAATGGATTGTTTTAATGACACCTATAATAGCATCAGAAATAAATACTCTATCAATGAACACTGTCAATAATG